ATTAAAGTTAAAAATATTTATTTATAAAAAAAATCAAGTTTAGGGTGACTATATGAACTTTTGCTTTGCATTAAATATTGGTTACAAAATTTCGAATGAATAAAATACAACCGTGCCATTTTCCTTTAAAAATAAAAATAAAAATAAAAATACAACTGTGCCCTACAACTTGAGCATAATAATGGGTAATACGTGGAAGTTGTATTTTTTCAATTAATTTCTTAAATTAAACAATAAGTTTATATCTTAACAATTACAACATCTAGAATTTTGCAATTCTAAATTTTTTTACAGGCAATAATAAATAGTAATCAATAAAAGATGATAGACTAATTTTTGTCATTGCAAAAGTTTGATTATAATTGCAGAGCACCATTTTATTTTTAATTTTTTTAAAAAACTTTTTTCTTTTTTATAGCCAAAAAAAAACTTTATTCCTTCAACATATGTCATTTTGAAAGAAAAAGAGAACAATACTATGTCAATAACATGAAATTATTTATAGTTAAATGGACTAATATCCTTCATATGCTAACTCCCATATTAAATAACAGTTGTTTTTTTATAAAACTGTCTCTTTTTATCCAATTATAATTTAACCTTTATTTATTTATTTAATAATTTTTTTTATTCCCAAATAAGTCACAAGCTCCTTGTCATAAAATTAGGTCTTACAATGGGTATTGCATGCTATTTATGTTTTGATTGGAAGCTGACCCTTTATACAATAGGTAGAGATTCCAATTGATGCGTAATTGATAGTGATTTTCGTATAATATGTAAATTGGCCGAAACACAATTTTTAGATGGATATAGAACACTTATATTATGACTACTCAAATAAGCAAACAAAATCATTTTTTCTTTGGGAAAATAACAATCACATAAAAGTTATAAATTAAATTGGGCCAACTTGAAATTTGAAAATATTAAAAATGTGCTATATCTAACCGGTTAAAAATAATCAACAACATTATTATAATTTTGTTTTTGGTAAGCACATTATTATAATTTTTATTTAAAATATTCTTGCCTCGTACAATTAATTATGTTTGTTTTAATCCTCTTAAAACTAATTTTATTTATAAAAAAATCATAAGAATTAGTTCAAATAATTTATGTAAATGTAATAAATTATTAATTAATATCGGGATCAATTTTAGAAAGATAATTTTCTTAATCCAAAAAGAAACGGACCTTAAACTTAAAACTTAACATGAAAATGACATATCTACACATGTTTTGATAAATATCTCATCGCTCACCCACTTCAACATTGACTTATTTGAAAGTAACAAAAGAAATAAACAAGTATTTGTCAAAATTGAAAGAACATAATTAATAGGAAAGAAAGAAAAAGAAAAACTGATAATATTATAGTAATGATAGATGAAAAAACAAAATGATGAACGGGGTGCCACGTGACTAAAATTGTCAGAAGAGGGTTGAGAGGAAAGCGTGGGATGTCTTGGTAACTGTAATGGAAAGGGAAAAAAGCGAAGCATTTGTTAAATAAAATGTAATAAGAGATTTTTTTTTCAATTATATATATATACATATATATATATATATATATATGGGTTTTATTACTATAATGTTACATGATATAAAAACATTTTCCTACCCTTACAATAAAGAAGAGAGAAGGTGAAATGATGAAAGAGAAAAAAAAAACATGTGGACCCCACCTCTTAATTGTGTGTGTAGGAAGATTTTCTTGGGTTATGTAACATAATAGTAATAAAACTCTATATATATATGGCAAAATGATTTCTGCAGCTGCTGTACCTACAGCAAGCAAGGATACACGTCCGAATCCTAGGATACGGCAATGGATCCTGAGTTTTTTTTTTTTTTTTTTAAAAGCCGTGGGGCCCACTTTTCTGTGTCAGCTGTAGATAATACTATCTACGGCTGCTGCAGAAATGTTACGCCTATATATATATATATATATATATATATATATATATATATATATATATATATATACGAGGAATGATACTTTGACACCGTTGTTAAATTTGAAATTTGACACCTCATCTGAGAGTTGTTAGGTTAAAAAAGATCAATGGTGTCACTTGCTTATAAATCAGAGCCGTTGATCTTTTTTGATCTAATGACTCTCACATGAGATGTCAAATTTCAAATTTGACACTGATGTCAAAGTATCATATCTCTATATATACACACACATATATATATAGGTAAGATCCTTTGATATCGGTGTCAAATTTCAAGTTTGACACTTCATCTGAGAGCCGTTAGATAAAAAGGATCAATGGTGTCACATGCGTACAAATCAGAGTCGTTGATTTTTTTTATCTAACGGCTCTAAGATGAGGTGTCAAAAATTCTACCTCAGATATATATATATATATATATATATATATATATATATATATATATATATATATTAGAAAAATAAATTTTATGTTGTATGAAAATTTCAATCTCATATCATAGATACATCAAGTTGAAACTCATTTATTTAAAAAAAAAAAAGAGTGGCACACCTTTTTATTGTGTGTGTAAGAAGGATTTGTTTTCTCATATATATTAGAAAAATATTTCTGCAGTTACGGCAGATAAGTTATTTGTATTTATTCCAAAACGACGTCATTTTATAACTGTAAAGACTATAATAATCCTGAAATAAATTAAAATTATAAAAACACCATGATTTCCTCCCCTAACCGACGTCATATTGGGTTTACTGCAGAAAAAATGAACCTTATATATATATATATATATATATATATATATATATATATATATATATATATAGGGTCAGGATCATTTTACACTACTGTAAGTTACACTTTTAATCTTGTTCGTTGATCTCACTTATATCTAAGGGTTCAAATTTTTTAATGATGCGAACCATTGGATACAAGTGGATCAATGGTCAAGATTGAGTGTAAGACTTCTAACTCTTACACTAGTGTAAGAATATCCTGCCCCATATATATATATATATAGAGGTTATACTTATTACTTCTTTTTCTTACGTTTTTTTATTACCAAATTTTAACCGTTAATTTTTGTCATTCTAACGGGTATAATTTATTATGTCATACTTATTAATTAATTATTAATTTCCAATAAATTATAACCTTTAGATTGGCAAAAATCAACAGTTAAGATTTGGTAGTAAGAGATAGTAAGAAAAATATGTAGTAAGTATAACTTCTCCCATATATATATATGAGAAAAATATTTCTTAAGTTGCTTGATATATTTATCTCCGGTTAACCCAAAATTACATCGTTTTATTTATTTATTTCTTTATATTAATTGATACACCTCTGAATGGTTATGATTATCATTTTTTCTCTCTTCCTTTATTACCATTGATCCATTTTTGTACGGTTATGATTTAGTGACCGGAGTTAAAGTTGTCTCAAGTAATTTGAAGAGTGTATTACCGGTCAGACATAGTATAATTGTAAATAAAAAGTTTGTAAATATAATCTTCTCATATATATATATATATATATATATATATATATATATATATATATATCAAAATAATATTTTTGCAGTTACTGCATATAAGTTATCTGCATTTACTCCAAAATCGACGTCGTTTTGGGATTGAAAAATTAAATAATTATAATTATAAAAGTATAATAAACTTGAAATAAATTAAAATTATAAAAACACAATGATTTTCGTCCTAAAATGACGTCGTATTAGGCTTACTGCAGATAACTTATTTGCAGTAACTGCAAAAAAAATGAAATATATATATATATATAGGGAAATATTTTTCTCCTTTAACATAAGAGAATAATTGTCTTTACTGAGACAAAAAAGGGGCCAACAATTAGAAAAAACAAAAACAAAAAATTGGCAAGAAATTCGATCTATGTGTAGGAATCAAATCTTCTTGTGTAAAAGGAGAAAAATATTTCACATATATGTAATTATGGAAAAACTATTCTCATGCTATATGAGATAAGTTTTCTATGTTACACACGATTCGATAACCTATGTAGCACCGATATCGACACGGGGCTCGAGACACGATATGACACGATACTCCGATACGTTAATTCTAAAAAATGTTAGATTTCGACACGTTAGGACACGTTTTGATATTAAATAATATTTTTAATTTATGTAGTGTATATTATATTTAATATTCAATAATTTAACAAAAAAATGAAACTAAACTTATAATATTCATCAATTTTGCAAAGAAATATAATATATTATATTAAACTCAATAAAATTGTAATCGTAATCCAACGAATTTAATAGTTGGAACCAAAAACTCAACGCAGTGCAACCTTTGAATTTTTTTTGAATTTCTATAACGCGTATTGGAGTGTCGGAGTGTCAGAGAGTGTCGGACACGACACGTCAGAGCTTTTGAAGTATCGGTGCTTCCTTGTCGATAACTATGCCACCTTTTTTATTTTTTATTTTTTCAGTAGTGAAACTCATAAGTTTATCTCTATAACATAAGATAACTTATTTCTTTTAACATGATATTAATAAAACTCATATAATTATATAAGATTGATATTGAATTATAGAAAAAAAATATGAGTCCCCACCCAATAACAGTATAAAAACCACTAATCTTATGTTATAATAATAATAAAATAAAAAAGAGAGAGAAAGCAGAGTGAGGAAGTGAGTGCAGAGCTGAGAAGAAAGAATGATGATGATGAGAGGTAATTGATATCATTCATTGGAGGAAACTCAGAAAAAAAGAAAAAAGAAAACCTTTTGATCCCAAAAAAGTTCATCTTTTTTCCCACCCACTTTCTCTCTTCCCAAACACCGCCGTATTTCGCTTTCTTCTTTCTTCTTTCTTTTTATCTCTTCAAAACTTCTCTTCCTTTAACATCTTATCTTTTTTCTCACTAACCCTTCATAAAAGTGACAAGCAGACAGAGGAGAAAGTGAAGAACTGTTGAAGACAGAGAGAGAGAGAGAGAGAGAGGTGTCATTCAGTCAATTATTTTTCTTGTGAGATTGCATTTTCACCAATGGGAGCTCGTTGCTCTAAATTTTCTCTGTGCTGGTGGCCTTCCAATATCAAATCAAACCTTCATGACTTGTCTGATAATGGTGAGGTTCTTATTCTCACTTCATTGGTCACTCACTTTCTGGGGACAGTTATTTGAATGTGAAGTTTTTGTTTTTAACATGGATTCATTTCTGGGTGTACTACAGATGATGGGAACAAGAATGAGAAGGATCCTTGGGCTGGTTTCACTGAGTATAACATGGATCAACTAAAACTTGCCACTTCAGGATTTTCACCTGACAACATTGTCTCTGAGCATGGTGAGAAGGCTCCAAATGTTGTTTACAGAGGAAGGCTTGAAGATGATAGGTTGGTTGCTGTGAAGCGCTTCACCAAGTCTGCTTGGCCTGATTCTCGACAATTCATAGTTCGTGATGTTTCTGCTTTTGGTTTCTTTTGCATGTGTGTGGTTGTGTGTTTTGTGAGTGGAAGTTCATGTTTGATGATGTGTTTGTTTTTGATAACCTTTTTTGTTTTAGGAGGAAGCACGAGCTGTGGGGCAGCTAAGGAATGGACGGTTAGCTAACTTGGTTGGGTTTTGCTGTGAAGGAGAAGAGAGATTGCTTGTTGCAGAGTTCATGCCCAATGAAACTCTTTCCAAACATCTTTTTCACTGTAAGTTTCCATCCATATGTTTATGTTTATCTACCTTGCATTTCTCCAGCAATCAACAACAGAAAAGATCTAATTTTTGAAGTCATTATTGAACCGCAATGTTTGACAAGGACTAGGCATTTTGCTTTAGAAGCTACATTAATAGCCAATTTTAAGTAATCTGCTTCCTCAATTTCATCTTAATTTTTGTTGATATTTTTTTGTGAATTCTCTGATTTTTGTGATATTTGTATGATCTGCTTCGCTAGGGGAGGCCCAGCCCATGAAATGGGCAATGAGGCTGAGGGTGGCATTGTATTTAGCACAAGCTTTGGAATACTGCAGCAGTAGAGGAAGGGCATTGTACCATGATCTTAATGCTTATAGAATTTTGTTTGATGAGGTACTTCAGCTTTTATAACCGGGTTTGTGCCTCTTTTTATTGTGTTTTATCAACTATCTCTTACATGGTATCAATGGTGGACAGGAAGGCAACCCTAGACTCTCTTGTTTTGGACTCATGAAAAACAGTAGAGATGGCAAAAGCTATAGCACAAATTTAGCCTTCACTCCTCCAGAGTACTTAAGGACAGGTAATAAATGATAAAGATCAACAAAAAACATATAGGCATTATCTTTTTTATTATTTTTCCCTTGGGCTATAGAATTTTTTTGGTAATTCCATGCATTCTGATTTATTCAATTTCTTAATTGAGCTTACACATGTCTGAAATTTGGCAGGAAGAATCAACCCTGAAAGTGTAATTTACAGTTTTGGCACTCTATTGCTTGATCTTCTTAGTGGAAAGCATATACCACCCAGCCATGTATACTCCCTCCTTCCCATTTCTTGTCTTCATTTTAATTTAAGCTGATATTTTTGTTTAGTCAATCTTTGACCTGTAGAATGTTGGCACTTATTGTTGAATCTTACTAGATTTGCAGTAACATCGTATGATGATCTTGCTTAAAATGACCATAGCATTTCTAGAATTCATAAATAAATAGGTAGCATAATCTCTTTACATGCAGGCACTTGACCTTATACGAGGAAAAAATTTTCTATTGCTGATGGATTCATGTTTGGAAGGTCATTTTTCAAATGATGATGGAACTGAGTTAGTGAGATTAGCTTCACGTTGTTTACAATATGAACCTCGTGAGAGACCAAATGCCAAGTCACTTGTGACTGCTCTAACTCCTCTTCAGAAAGATACTTCAGTATGCTCTTCTTTTTCACTCCTTGCTTTTTGTCTCAAGTTCTTCTATCACAAGTGAATCAAGAATCAAAGTTTACTTGGTTGACTTGTACACATTAGTGAAGCCTCTTGGAAGCATAGAAACGTATTTGGTATTTTTAACAGGTACTGTCAAATGTTTTATTGGGCATACCAGATGGGAGTCTATCATCAAAGGAAACAGTTTCATTGACACCTTTTGGTGAAGCTTGTTTAAGAAGAGATCTGACCGCAATATATGAAATTTTGGGAAAGGTGGGGTACAAGGATGATGAAGATGTTGCGAATGAGGTAATTCATTGTTTCTCTAGATTTCTTTTTTATTTAGATTTTTACTAAGAGAATGCTGTAAGCGGCTTTTCTTTTCTTTTTTTCTCTGTCTACAAAATTTTTTAAAAGCTGCTTGATGCCAAAAGTATTAGTTTTTAAACATTGTTGTGTCTTTAATAAATATATTGTGCAATGCTATTAGTTGTTAAACCTTGTTTTTAAACTGTTTCTTGAAAGTTTTAACTTTAATTTTTTATTTTAAGATTTTCCAATTTGCTCAATTTCTTTGAGTATCAAAGTTTAATTAACTGCCAGATGCTCTTTATGCATCTCAAAAAACAGTCATTCAACACCATCTTCATTTGATTATAAAGAGGCATGATCTTTGCTAAAAGACACTGTTTATAAATAACTGAAGACACTATGTTGAGAATCTTTCTTATGCAAGATAATTTAGTACCTTTGGGTTTATTAGTTCAAGGGAATGCCATCTTGCGGTTTTGATTCTGCTTTTCCCACTATGTTGTACAGCAAAAATGTATTGTTTAATAATTCTTCTATAGTTCTTAGCAAAGCTGGACCTTCCTTAACCATGTAAAATTATATTTATGGAGTTGTATCCTTTCATTGTATCACAGCTGTCCTTCCAAATGTGGACAAATCAAATACAAGAAACACTGAATTCTAAGAAGCATGGTGACTCTGCTTTTCATGCTAGAAACTTCTCTACGGCCATTGATTGCTATACAGAAGTAAGTCAGCTATAAATGCTAGGAATAAGAACGTCTGAGCATTGCATTCCTATACTACAAAATAAATAAATACTTTTCCATTGTCAATCTAATAAAGTTAAGTCTTTACAAGATTGAATCTTTTGTCTAGAACCATGAATGATGAGTTGGTGGAGTAATGGGGTCAATGCTTTGGATTACCCATTAGCCTTTGAAATTTAAAGTTGAGGAATAGTTTTAAATGTATCCATATATCTTGCAAGTTGCAAAAAGAGGGAGCAATAACCAGAATACACATTATCAATATGTTCCCCTCCATTACTCCCAAAGCATGCTAAGTGAAGATTGGTTAGTGGTTAATATATTAGTGTGTTAAGGTTCTTTTTCACAATATTTGGTTTTGTGTAGTTCATCGATGGTGGAACCATGGTATCACCAACAGTGTACGCGAGGCGCTGCTTATGCTACCTGATGGATGGCATGGCACAAGAAGCACTTGGAGATGCCATGCAAGCTCAGTCAGTGTCTCCCACATGGCCTACTGCATTCTATCTTCAAGCAGTTGCACTCTTCAGCCTTGGCATGGACAATGATGCACAGGAAAGTCTTAAAGACGGCACAACATTGGAAACCAGAAAGCATAGAAATTGAAACTGTATAGTTTTTCTTTTTCCCTTTCTTCTCCTTCCCTTCATTTATCAAGCAATATTTTTTAAGTATTACTATTAACTGTATGTAATGTATCTTTCCCTTAGCTTCTCTAATATGCTTCAGACTACTGATTGCGACCCCTCCATTCTCTTTTGGTTTTTTTGGTCGAATGCTGTGAATCTCAAATTGCTCTGCTTCTTATAAAGATGTCTTATTTCAATACTCTTTAAGTTATTGCATTTATTAAAATTAGAAACACGTAGGCTCACTTGTCATTAAAAATGAAGAACTGGATGGAATAAATGCAACAATTTAGTAATGTACTTCTAATTTTAATTGGATGGGTAGCTCACCACTTGTGGCACGGAAACTTTCATTTTCATGTTGTCAATGTATGAATTTTTTTTTTTTTATTTATTTATTTTATGCACAGCTACAAAACATAAGCTTGATCCTACAGTTCATTTATTTTCCGTTTGCATCAAAGTGCAATTGCATTTTTTTTATGTACATATCCTGAATCACAAGTGGATCATTTATTTTTTTTGGATACGATGATGACAATTAAACACGGGACAGGATCCGTTTACAAACTTTTTTGAATTTTTTTACAATTTACACTGTATTCTCCCGGGAGAACATAATGTAGTTTGTAAAAGTTTGTATTCTCCCGGGAGAATATACTGTAGTTTGTAAACAAAAAAGTTTGTAAATATAACATGTCCCATTAAACACATAACCTTACACAGACTATCTAAACACTTCACCTGTAGATCAATCTTAGTGGCTTATCAGAAGTGGATCATTTAAAACCAATCCACCAAGCACAATGGAGTTGACACCAAGGATGGCCCCGGGTGCTGTCACTGTCAACTCCCAAGGTCCTGATCCAGTTCCAATCCTGCATCAACGTAGTTCATTGACTCAAAGTGATTGGCTTGAATTCATGAAATTTGTAAGAATTACACGTGCCATGACAGTGATCAATTTGGTGGAAAGAATAAGAAAGAAAAACATGGAGAAATCCTGGTGATTTATTACCTCAAAAAACCAACAGATGCTCTAAGACCCATATAGATGGTCAAAGCAATCCAAATTCCTATGAAACCGCCAGCAGAGGATAAAATAAGTAAACAAATGATGCTAACAATTGCCACCACAACCTGAGAGTGAAGAAGACCATAATGAAGTAAATCAATTTCTACGTTTAAGTCCTCCTTCCTTTGGTTCAAACTTACTACCAAAGAAAAACATGGAAGAAAATACCCACCAAAGAAAAGCCTGAATATGCAAAATCTGATGCCCCGAAGTTTATACCATCAAATACAAATGCCAAAGCGTTGATAGGTTGAGTGGCTTCTACGAACTGATAAAAATAATCAATTCTAATGAGGTGGAGGACATCAACATCTTTTGTAAATAGTTTAGCTCCAAAATGCAGTCCTGTTCCAAGAATGAATGCAAGAGCCATTCCCAGAACCAAACCCAACTGCAGCATGATTGTTTATTACAGACACAAACTAATCTCTTGCAGAAAGATGGGAAATCCTTTTAACATTGTATAGAACCTTTAATACTCCGGATGCGGTTGCTTTGGCCTTGTCATAGTCCTTGTTAGCAAATGCACCTGCAAGAATAGCCTGAAACCAATATGATATTATCATAGAAGTTATGAGCAATTAAAAGTATATAGGCATGTTAAAAAAACATTGTCATCAAAGCAAAAAGAATTCATGTATAGCACATAGGTACTTCATCTTTGATATGAAAGCAGCATGTAGCAAGTAGCAACACAGTAGGGCAATTACTGAACAATGTAATCATAATCTAACCTGCCCCGCAACAGCTAGACCATCAGCAAGAAGAGACACTGCCAACCAAACCTGCAGGCAGACTTGAAATGCAGCCATGGATGTTGATCCCTGGCGTGCAGCTAACGATGCTGCCAGAGTCACACAGAATGTTACAGCAATTACTCTTATTAATAATAGAAAACCTGGATGACAAGAATGAAACAGGAAAGGACAAATATTGTGTCGAATGTCAATGCTAAAATGCCAGGTGACCTATATGCAAGGAATACAATTTATAATAGAAGTATCAACTTGAATACAAAAAGGAAAGAAGGAAAGCGAGGTAGAAATTTTTGTTAAGAAGTTTTTGGTGCACCAAAATATGGGATTAAATAGTATCAAAAGAATTCAGATTGAGAAATTTTTTGTTTTCTCTTATTTTTGTTGCACTCATATTATGTGTTTTATTTGCATTGAGTTTTAATTTTATAAATTCTGTTACTGAACCCAACGAACCAATTCACCTCCCTATTGGTTCTGTGATATTATTACTGTGTATTGCTAGTTAATTAGTGTGTCTCCAGACCAAAATTTTATTCAATAAAATTTAAGTTGATTGAGGCTTCTAATCCATCTTGTTAATCTAGAATATGAAGCTTTGATGTATTTATTTCTATAATAAACTTAAAATGTAATCAATATAGAAAAAGTAGTACGCATTATCCCTTTTTATGTAAATAAATCCTTACCATTTTTAAGAAATCGATCAAATTGAAGATGCTTGATGCTTGGAGGTATAAGATCCACTTTTTCCATCAAGCTCCACAGGAGTATAACGCAAATTAAGTACCTAAATTCAGTTAATTTGAAAATAAAAGATGACTAAGGCCAAAAGAAGCAAAAGGAAAATAAGAGACGATTGACATGATAGTGCAGCTTAAAGAAGTTTGCAGCAGAGTCATCCATGTTTAAAAAAATGAGAGTATTGTTATCAAAAAAAAAAAAAAAAATGAGAGTATAATCAGAGCATTTGGACTGCAATGAAATAAGACTCACTGACATATGACATGAGCAATGGCTGCACCACTGACACCCAAGTGGAATACAAATATGAATAAAGGGTCTAGTGCTATGTTGGTCACATCTCCTGCCACTACATCACATAAGAAAAAATGTCATTAGAAAAATGCAATAGCAGGATATTACAACACTAGATAAACAACAATTTGAGTCTGTTAAGGCATACCAGTTGCATATAAAGGTGGTTTAGTGTCTTTAAATCCTCGGAAGACTCCCTGCATTGCTAATGAGAGAAGAACTGCAGGAGCACCAAGGGACCTCAATGTCAAGTAGTTTTGTGCATGGTTTAGCATAGGAGAGTCCTGTATAAATATTCTGTATTATTTGGCAATCATCCCATGCTTGTCCAAGGTCCAATCACTAAAGGAACAAGTTCAAATGAATGCCAAACTGCTAAAAGTAAAAGTAACATTCTCTTAGTATGTTTATAAAGCACTTACAGATGCTACTCCCATGAAGTTCAATAAAGGTTTTGCAGCAGATATGAGGACTATTGCCTGGATGAGGCCAAGAATGCCACCGATAACTAATGCTGATGAAGCAGAAGGGACTTGCCTTCTCTTATGCTTAACCTTAACCATATTAAAGCTAACACCAACCATATCTGATTTGTGAACATTTGCACCAGTGTCTGACCAAGAAAAAGGAAGGGATCAAAATGGGCATGTAGAAAACTTTTTATTGGCAGTCCTGTGGAGCATTGAGATGTTACTCCAAAGGAATAGTGGAGCCCAAGAAAACTTTGCTGAGTTAAACCAACATGACTTAGAAAAGAATGGGAGAATTATACCTTCATGTGGTATAAGCTCTTTCATTTCAGCATCCATAATTGGACCTGTTTTCAAGCATTTACTCTCCTTTACCAGAGGGCTGGCTCCATTAAGGGTATCTTCCTCAGCCACAAAAGAGGTAGTGACACTGACAAGTGGGAATATTGCAATCCTCGATATCTGATTGAAGAGAGCTATGGACACTCCTACAGCAGCAAGCTCCACTGGACCTGTAGGGATGGACCAATAATATTTAACAATAGATGCATTATAAGAAAATTCTAATACATATAAGGTAGTGTTGATTATTTGAATTTTTCCTCTCCAATGGTCAAGTAGAACAAAAAGATTTAACAATAGATGCTATTTATTTCTAGTGATTATTTTTGATCAAATCACCAATCAGACAGCTTCTGTAGCTGTCATTATGATTAACATTGTTTCTGTTGTTCCCTGTCATAATATAAACTCAACATATTTATGTAATATGGATGATATGCAAGTCAGATTAAGATTGTTTCTGCATTCCTTGTTATAATATAAACTCAACCACATTCATGTGAAACGGATGATATGCAATTCAGTAGCAGCATCACAAGACACACTGAAGCAAAAGTCAACTTGAACAGCCACGCACGCCAACATACTATTGTAGATGGGGAAAGGTGTCTATAGTCTATTCTAAGCTCAAAGCTAGTACACTAATGACAGAACGTACCTATTTGACCAATGAATGCTGTGTCAACCAATGAAGCGATAGGGTCAGCTGTCAAAGCCATTGCTGAAGGCAATGCAATTGATAATATTTCACGTCCAAGATTGTCAGGTTTCAAAACTAGTCTGTAGTAAGAAGAAAATCAAGAATTTCATCAATACAATAGCTCAAAATAAAAAACTTAAAAACAATGAGATTAAAGCCTCCCTACAAAGCTACAAATGCGTTCCTCTTAGTATCATTTCAACTTAATAGATGAAAATTTTCACAGAAAAAAACTACAGTTTAAGTGATACTATGCATATTGCTTAATGAACAAAACTACTCGTTTAGCTTTTCAGTTCTGGATTTTTTTTACAAAAAGATATATTCCAGAAATTCTATTAAATGGTACCTGGCATCAGTAAAGAAATTGGAAATTGGAATTCTCCTTCCATCTCCTGATGAATGCAGACTCTCTTTGTCAGCCATCTCTAGGAAGCAAAATTCAGCTGTGATGTTCAAAAAACCAACTGAAAGAGAAGTTGTAGATAGAAACTAGAGTTATAAGTCTACTGATACCTAAATAAAAGGATATAAATTGAGCTCCAAATAAGAGAGAAAAATTGGATGGTTAAGCTTTGAAACTGAAACCTCAAGCGTGAATGGAAAGAGAGTAAGAGACCACCCAGTTCCAAATAAGACAGAAATTGCCTTTCAGATTCTCACCCTCGACTAAAACGGCATCCAACACTTAGTGTATGTCATATCATGTACTTGAAAAGTTCTAGCTTGAAAACTATGCATTTGTGCATTTAATGTTAGCTTTAAAATCTATCTACCCATTATTGATGCAAAGCGTCTCCCAAACGGTTAGTCCCTCTCAGTTAGTTGAAATCTGAAACAACAACACTCGAGGCTACAGAGCTAGCATGCCCCATGCACGTATCAATCATCGTCCTATCACAGTATAGGAAGAACAAGAACAATAGAACAGAACTATAAACGTTTTGAGTTTGCAATGGGAAGTACAATTTGTTCTGGTGAAAAAGCTACCTTTGTATATGACAACAGCTTCATTAGCGTATATAGCTATGATTTGCTGTGCATAGATGGGAACATGTGGCAGTACGAGGTTGAAGAAAATTACATCAAAATATTCAAAATACATCCTTGCCAACCATTGCTAAGTGCATTCCAGCTGCTTATACAATTCTATTGCTATGTAGTAACTTAATTTGTTTGATTATTGCCAACATGTCATTTGGGCTAAATTTCAAGTTATTTAATTATCATAATTGTGTTAGTGCATCTTAATATTAGTATTAGAGAAATATAAAATTATTAATGAATCTTCACCTAATTTAACTGGTATCTAGAGCGTAACGAGAGTAAATTTTTTCCGAAAACTCTGAAGTTCATGAGTTTCCGGACTCAATGGTTCTTTACAACTTGTAAGAAAATGGCTCTTAGTAGATCGCAACCCAATGCTTAAGTGTATACATCTGGGATGAGGTAAATGGAAAATAGACAAAACAAATGAAAAACAAAGGTTTATTTTAATTGTACCTTCTTAAGCTAAGAGAGATCCTTATTTTGATACTCTGGCAACTTTTTCATATTTTAAATTTTTTTAACTTCTCCAAAACTTTGTTTCTTCTTTTAAAAAAGTGCTTTTATACTGGAAAACTAAACTTTACCAAAAAAAATTACAAATTGTACTCGCTCAAATAATATCATTTTTTTTTTCAAAAAAAAGTAAATCTTTTATTATTTTTCTGAAACCTTGAACTTTAAAGCCTATGCCGATCGCAGGGTTTAAATATCGAAGTTCAAACCACAGGGAACAAAAAAATAGCTTTCGAGCAACCTCATTCCGATAAATCGATACACAAGCGATGCCGGGAGAACCAAACCAAATAATTAAGATGGGATCCATCGAAACTCATGAATAGAAGGAACATGCTTATTCATTTTAACTTCGTTTAAAAAGTTACTTTTCGGTTTAGAATGTTGTTGTTTTTTTGGTAGTATTGTTTAGAATGTTGTTAAAACTGTCTAATTTGTGTACTTCCTAACATATTCCGTTAAATTATCAACAATGTTATGCCCATGTTATTTAGTTCGAGAATAGTATTTAGAAAAATTAAATATTTTTAAAACCATTCAATCAATTAGATTAATAACATTGAAAAACACGCTCCCATGCAAAGTTGATAAAACATGCAACAAGAGGACAAGCTTACGAACCTAATGCAAGTTATTTAACTCTGAAGAGTGCAGAGCATTCCTCTAGGGAAATATGAACATTCCTAAAGAATTTGCTAACAATTCATGATACTGTCAAATTTCCAGCAACAGGAGCGCAAGATCTTAATTACTCCACACTATTGCGATCTCCACACAAAAAACAGCAAATTTGAGGAAAAACATTCAAGGCATGTATAACTACAATATATCCTGCATAGCAGGATGTCCTTACATTTCAAAAATCATGTAAATGTTCTACCTCAGATCTTAAACGACCAAGTATATGCAGGTCCCATCTAAATCTCCATCAAAACCTCCCGTAGATTATTTCTCGAAAGAATCGTAAAAAGATTAGCAGTTTGCTTCAACTGCTGATAATAACGAGAATTCGTACATGACTGTATGCAAAAATATTAAATTAGAAAATTTGTGTAGGCAAATCTCTATAACAGGCCCTTTACCACAAGCCAATGGCTTTCCACCAAACTCCTCCAACTCCAAGCCAGATTATCATGTTAACAATACTAATAAGGAATCCATAGCCCCACCATTTAGCAAGGGGAACATAGTTGGCACCGTAAAACACGGGAGCTGACCCAATCCCATAATGAGTAAGGCCGCCCATAAGGTTGGAGAGGAAGGACAGCACCATGGCTGCAAAGAATGGAGGAGTCCCCAGAGCAGTAGCAACAGACAGGAATGCAGTAAACATGGCACCAATATGAGCAGCTCCACTTGCAAAGAAGTAATGAGAGTAGAAGTAGAGAAGGACCAGAATCCCAAAAGATAGTTGCCATGAAAGACCCAACCCACCAACAAACTGTATAAATAATAAAATCAGCAAATCATTTCATTCAAATACTCAAGGAATCTGATAAATTATTCTAATAATTTCTCAAAAAGTAAAATTAAATTTTATAAACACGTAACATGTTGCATAATGCCTATTCTCTTCTGCAGAGCATCTTCTGGAATGTGTATAATACAGTACATGCCACAAATATGGAAGGAACTGATGGAGCGCATGTAAACTATTATCATGATAAAAGAAAATTTATTCAGTGGCAATTAACAGCATTCACAGGACTAAGAACTCATGATGACCCAGGTGATATCCTTTGTTGTTTCAAAAAAGCTTTGCAGTTAACGAACCTAGAGTGGACAATTTTAAAACCAAACATATCCACATACATATACCAGAGGAAAGGAAGTAATTTTGATTCAGTATTTGCTTTAAACATTGAGGTGATGCCGGTAAACGCAGAAGTAGGAATAAAGCAGAGAAATGAAACAAGATGCATAATGAAGACTTAATTCCAAGAGTACACAAGCAAGCTGATTAATCATTATATGCTAGACAAGTGTATGTCGATAATATACAGTTGGTTGAAAGCTTATTCAGCTTCTACATATTTCAAAATAAGAAAAAGGTTCCTGTGTTGGTTTGATTTGGTCAAACAACTAGAAAATATGATAATGGTACAATAAAATTAAACAAAAAACCATGCACTCACTATTTCACTCCAAAGAATAGATAATAGGCAAAAGAACTGAAGATAAATTATCAGGAGCAGCATAAGTTATGCTAAATGAATATTAGCCAGCAGCTGGAGGAGAGAGAAGACAGAAAAAAATACCTTGACTACAGTTTGACTGAACCAAGAAATGAGACCATATTTGTTCAAATACCCAGCCATTGCAATGAGGGCAGCAAACCACGTGAGAGTATCCCAGGCAACTCCCTCAGCTAAGCACTCCTTCCATGTCACGACCCCAGTGACAAGGAGTACAGTTAGTCCAAGGATAGCAGCAGTCACAGCATCTATATTAAGAACCCCTCCAAAAATCCAAAGTCCCACCTGGTAAAATAAAGCAAGAGAGGGAATAAGTTACTGAACAAATGCAGTAAGACTGACACAAGGTATACAGTAATACAACTAAAACTGAATGGTTAGTTTTGCAGACCAATAAAAAGTTGCAAAGAACCAGAGGACCCGCAGCTCAATTTAGCAAACAAAATGAAAGATGGCATGACTAGTCAAAACCAATGTCTGTTTTTTTACAGTTTACTTGGCCAAAAAGCAAAACCACAATGCACATATGTCCAATGATCAGCCTAGCGGTGCTAATTGAATGCTCAACCAAGGACAGAAAATCCAATAGGACAGATTAGAAACCAAATCACACTACTACTATCATATACAGCTAATATTAGGTTCATAAAGGAAATGACACAGAAGAAGCAAAAGTTCAAAGTGAGTTCCTAAGGACCAACTCAGCAGTTAGTTTAGCATTTCTCACAAAAGAGAACATTAATTTGCAATCACACTTTCAAACTGAATGATTGACAAGCTAAAGCTAACAAAAAACCAAATCAAGAGAGCAAGTAGCTAGCAAAGTCATCCACAAACATAGTTCCAAAATAGTCGATTTAAGTTACCCTATTGCAAATAGGAATTTGATTACCGTAAGAAACAGAGTCGCAGTCATGATCTTCTCATTCGCTGACATAGGCCCCATCTTCTCTAACTTCTCCCTAGCAAGCTTGGGTGCGTCAGGACTGTTTTTCAAGGTAGGAGGGTAGATGATATACAAGATCAAAGGCACCAACACCAACGACACCAAACCAGGGACAATGGCAGCTTTTGCCCAGTCCAACCACCCAATGGTCTGGTTAATGGAGTTCAGAGTGAGAGTGGCACAAAGGGGATTCGCAGCCATTGCAGTCAAAAACATCGCCGACGAAATAACCGAAGTCTGAAAGCAAGTAAGCATCAACCACGACCCAAGTCTGTTCTCCGTTCCGTCACCGGCGTTACTACCACAAGCCACACACAGAGACTTAACCAACGGAAGAAAAATCCCACCAGCTCTTGCGGAAACCGAAGGAATAGCCGGTGCCAACAAGGCCTCGCTGAAAACCAAGCTATAACCTAATCCTAACGAAGAGCTACCGAAAAGGGACACGAATTGATAAGCGACGCGATTTCCGAGCCCGGTTTTGATGAACCCTTTGGCGAAGAAGAAGGCAAGGGCAATGAGCCAAGGGATTGGATCAGCGAAGCCCGAGAATGCAGCAGCGAATGGTAGGGTTTTGGTGAGAACCGAAACGCCCAAGCCCAATATGGCGACGGCACCAAGGGGCAATGGCTGTGTGATAATGCCGACGATGGTTCCCAAGAAAATCGCTAACAATTGCCACGCGTTTCGTGAAACCCCAGACGGAACGGGAACAAACCAGAGTAATACCCCCGTTGCTATAGAAGCTAAAAGCGGTTTTATTGCCGCGCCTTGCCATGGCTGAACCGGAGCCGGAGCCGGAGCCGGAGCTGGGGTGATGGCGGCTGAGGCTCTAACAGTAGTAGTGGAGTGTTTCCGATTGAAAGTGACGTTGGAGAGTGGGAAGGATGGAATTAAAGAAATGGAAGGGTTGCGGTTTAGTGTGAGGGGTTTGAAAGTGGCATGGCGTTGTGGTGGCGATTTGGAGGAGGAGGAGGAACGGAAGCGGAAAGATGGGAGAGTTGTGGTGGTGGTGAGTGCTATGGAAGCCATGGTTTGGGATTGGGATTGGGATCTGGTGCAGCGTTTTGTATCTTAATAGAGTGGCACCATGTGGCTGGAGGAACAACCAAGGGAGATTTGATTGTGAGCCGTTGGATTTGGAACGGACGGTGGAGGTTGTGATTGGAATATGCGGCTTTGTTTGTTGGTGAGGAATTGGTGGCTTTTGTGCTATTTTATCTTTGTGATTACCGTCTTTCACAATTTCAGATATGTTGAATTCTCCGTCAGAACATAACATAAACACTGTGTTGTGTGACAGAAAGGAAAATAAAAATAAATGACATACTTATTTCATTCTTCTGCACAGTACCGAGAATCTCACCAACTCAACTCCCCTACTGGAAATCATGTATGAACGGGGGTTGTCCCGTGGGCCACGTGGCGAGATGTGAATGGGTGAGTGTCCACGTTGGATTGTTGCTTTTGGTGAAGTGGCCTGGATGAACATCTTGTGAGGAAGGTGGTGATGACACGTGTTGTTCTAATGGCATTGCAGTGGAAGCAGAAGATCTTCAGCGCGCGCTCGCTTTTTGGCTGTGGAAAAAAAAAAAGAAAAAGAAAAACCAAAGCTCAAAAGAGACAATTAGTGAGATATGTTGGAGCAGTGACGTGGCAGTTTTGGAAGATGGCTATTCGCAGCGACCATTGGTGATAAGAGACAATTGTCAATTAGGGATCATTTTGCAAATCCTAAATTATATTTTCGACTTTCGAAGGACTAGCCTCGTAATTACTAATTACTAGGCTCGCTATCAAGAATCCAAGATCGCGAGTACAAAACAGGACCCATAAAGCACGTGGATCAATGCGAAAATACAATTTGTTGATGCTACATTATTAATAAAAGCATATTATAATATTCGAATTCAAGACTCTTTTTTTATCCTTTTAGTTAAATCAACAATTATTATCAAGTAACATGCACTATTTGTAAAACATATATATTTCCTTCACTTATTTTCGTTCTTTGCGCTTCGTCCTTATCAAATAATGCAAGGAAATAATATTACCACATGAAAAGAATATTGTAGTATAACTTATCTTCAATATAAAATAACCCATGGGCGAAAAAAAAAATTAAGATTTATTCCTATGTTGCACCCATACTATACCGACACGACATGATATTCTAACATGTTAATTCTAAAAAATATTAAATTTTGATACGTTAGATCACATATTGATATTAAATAATATTTTTAATTTATAAAGTGTATATTATATTTAAAATTCAATAATTAAAAAAAAATGAAACTAAACTTATAATACTCATCAATTTTGCAAAGAAACATAAAATGTAAATATTTACTATTATATTTTCAAATTGAAATATCTTTTACACTTCAATAAAATTTATTCAGTATTCATTTTTAATGTCTATTATATAAATTTACTAAAATATCAATCAATTTTTTCATAATATATAATAAAATTTCAAATATTATAGATGTCGAAGCATGTCAGAGTGTCGTAATATCGGACACAATACTTCAAATCTTTTGAAGTGATCGTAGAACATAAGTTTATGCTATATGATGGATGATTTAATGCCTATTGTTTTGAACGAACATTAATGGGTATTCTGTATTATCTTATCATTCGTTAAGGGGTTTTTCCTTCTTATATATGCTACAATAGACGATTATCATAGCAGTGGGTAGTTATTGGTATTCTATCATAGGGATCATGGTAGGGCCATTTATTGTCACTACTGCTAGGGTCTTGAGCACGTCCTAACTCCTTATCCGGGTTCCGGACTTGTACAACGTACTTTATCCTTAAGTCCTAACAGATGTGGGCTCTATATGGGCTTGCCTAAGCCCATTTAACAAACACGAAACATTAAGGCCCCTCAGCTTAGAGTATGATGTCCGCTCTACTCCGAGTTAATAACATAGATTGTTTTTTTGTAACGTTACTTATCCTTACTTTATTAATACCATCATTAAATGTTTTCTGCCTATTCATCTTAGTCTTGCCAACTATCCTTTTTTTACTAGTCTTGATTTTCCCAAACGGCGCAATTTGACATCTATTAATCATTTGTTTCGAAATTCAAAACGTCAGTTGCTTTTTTCGCATCCTTTCATCTCCCTCTTTTTTCTATATAACTTCTCTTTCTCAAATCTTTGTTATGCTCTTTCCTTCTTCTAGCCATCAGTTCTTCTTCCTTTTTCTTTCTTTTGCATTTTCTTGTTGTTCTTGTTGGCTTTACTGCCCCGTTGCTGCTCTCGTTCATCCTCTTCATTGAGCTTTTTTACCAAGTAAGTTTAGTAAACTTCTCTTTCTTTACAATCGTTATTGCATGTTTATCTTTTTTGACTTCTCCTTCTTATAGTTATTATTCTTTATCTTTTTACTGTTATGGACCCTTTTGATACTTCTTCTGATACTTTTTCCACCATCCTCTCTAAGAAAAATCTTTTTAATTCACCAACTACAAGCATACCTACAAGTTTCCCTTTTTACCATCGTATCTTTACTCCTTTTAGGGCCCATGCACTCCCTTTACCGGGTTCCGAACGGATTAGGGTAATTTTACGCCCACAACCATCCCCCACTAACATATTAACTATTAATTCCTTTACTGAATTAAACTTTAACAGTGTCTTTCCATCCAGGAACATGCCGAGGAATCGTCCCTACCGTTCGCTTCCCGCTTCTCGTTTTGCGCTCCCTTCTACTGTGGCGGGTTTAAAATGGGTTGACGAAGAAGCCTTAAGACTTCTTCAACTTATGAAAACAATCCGAGTACTCTCCATGTAGCCTTACAGTCAGTACCCCTATTCCATGATTCCATTATTACTTCTTTCTGGGTTGTTGTACCCGGAGAAGATGAACGAGTTTTTTCTTCCTCTAGGCAAGGTGAGAACTCTTTCTTTTTTGTCTATAAATGTTTATTTTTTGAGCTTAAAATCACCTTATCTTTTACCGAGTTTCAAATGGACGTCTTGAATCATCTTGAAGTCGCCCCTTCTCAACTTCATCCTAACAGCTGGTGCTTTTTACACAACTTCAAAATAATTTGTCAAGCTTATGGATTTACCTATTCTTCTCGAGTACTTTTCTGTCTTTTTTCCATGTTCTGAAATGCCATTGAAAAGGGTAGTACCCGATATAGTTGGGTTTCTTTGAAAGCCCGCCCAGGATTTCGATGGTGTACTATATATGAGTAATTGGAAAAATTTCAAAGAGGATTACTTCAAAATTTGTATACCTGAAGCTCTTCCTTCTACGCCTTTTTCTTCTTCTTCTCAATCTGCACCTCCTACCGCCTTCTTTTTGGATCTAGATGTAGCTCCTCGGTTCCCTCTATCTTGGAACCGAAGTCGTTAGACGCCTACAACCAAAGTATTTTTAAATAACTCGAAGAACTTGACTAACGAGGAATTTGAACCTCCTCAACATTCCAATGCCTTGGAATTGGTATCCCATCCAAATGCTCCAACTGATAAGCTCCAGCATGAGTGCAAGTCGTTACTCTCTATGGACCTTCCCAATTTGCTGCCAACTTGCCATCTCCAGCATTTTTGTTTCTTATATCTATCTGCCTGAGCACCAGATCTCCGACTTCAAACATCTGGTTATACCTTGTTGCTACTCGCTGCTTGGATGCCATCTCCACCATTGTTGCCTTCTCTTTTTCTTCTTCTAACAAATGTAAATCAATCTTCATCATTTCGTTGTTCTCTTCCTCTTTTTCTTCTTGTATCATTTTTCTTCTCCATGACGGTTCTTCGACCTCTACTGGTAACATCGCATCAAACCCGTGAGTGGAGTTTCTTGAATACTAGCTGTATTGATGTTATGTATTCCCATAACACATTATGTAACTCCTCCAACCAATTTCCTTTACACCCTCAACTCTCTTTTTCAAGCCATTCCTCAAAATTTTATTAGCTGACTCCACATACCCATTCGTCTGGGGATGCTCTACTGCTGCAAAATGATGTTTCACTCCTAAGTTGGCCATCACTTGTCTGAACTTCTTGTTTATTAACTGAGTCCCATTGTTAGTAATAATTATTGCCACCAAACCTACAAACTATCTTTCTAATAAAGAACTTATGGACTTTCCGAGTAGTGATACTTGCCACGGGATCCGCCTCTATCCACTTTCTGAAGTAGTTTGCTGCCACAATCAAGTACTTAATTCCCTCAGCTGCTTTGGGAAATGGACCTAAAAGGTACATTCCCCATTTAAAAAATGGTCATGGAGAAGAGATTGTAAACAACTCTTATGGGGAAGCTTTATACAAAAAAAACCATTCCCCGTTAAACTCGACTAGCGAGTGTGGGGTGGAGGAAATCCTTGTACGCAGCCTTACCTTTGCATAATTGCAAAGAGGCTGTTTCCTAGATTCGAACCCATGACCTTGCAGTCATGAAGGAATAGCTTTATATACATTAGAAAATTCCTGACATTGTTCGCACCATCGTACATGCCTTTTTGCATTTTCTCCCATCATTGGCCAAAAATAACCTGCTCGGATAGCTTTCTGTGCTAAAGACTTCCCTCCAAGATGATGTCCATATATACCCTCATGAATTTTTTCCAACACATACTCGGTATTCGATGGAGCTATACTCTTCAGCAGAGGCAAGTTAAACCCCCTCCTATACAAGCTCCTTTCAATCATTACAAACCATGTCACCTTCCTCTTTAACCTACTCGCTTTCATCTTATCTTCTGGTAATTCCCCTTTTTCCAAAAAAGTTTTAATTGGATCCATCCAATTGCCTTCCTCCACAATCCAAACAATACTCGGAGCTTGAATGCTCTGCTGTATTATAGTTTTAAATTTCCTATAGCTTTGAGAGGACATCAGCCCGGACATTGTCATTTCTCCAAATGTGCTCTACTCGGACTTCTTTAAATTCTTTCATCAACTCCTGCACTCTTGCTAAATACTTGATCATAATTTCTCCCCTCACCTGATAAACTCTACTTATCTGTGACGTCACCAACCGCGAATCACTGTATACCTCTAAAATCTTCGCTCCGAGTTCCTTTGCTTGCACCAGCCCTGCAATCATTGCCTCATATTCTGCTTGGTTGTTACTTGTAGGAAACTCCGACATTAATAAGTGTTATATAGTTACTCCTTATGGGTTTTCCATTATGATCCCCACTCCACTTCCTCTTTTATTTGATGATCCGTCCTCAAATAACTTCCGCCAACCATCTACTTCTTTACTTTCGGGATGCGTCATTTCTACCACAAAATCTGCCAATGTATGTGCTTTTATTGC